AAATAGGGGGTAGAGGGGACATTAAAATACCTGACTGAGAAAAATTCAACAACGGTAATTCAGTATTTGTTCTAGTCACCAACTGACATAGGCCTCTGATCTCCCTTTGTTTCAGTATCCAAACGGGCTTACCAAAAGAACTTTGAACATGTATCTCTTACAACTCCAAAGTATCTTTCTCAAGGACCTGAGAGACATTCCTTTGAAATGTAATCATCTCTACAAACTGAACCTTTGCCGCCCAATCTGTAGGAGGAGAGCATCCTAATTCTGTAACTGCAAGCAAGCAGACACAACCAGCCTTGGCCTACGGGTGCTTAACATCATTTACAATGACTGGCCCTTTGTACTTTTTCATATCTTTTAACTACTGAGCCCTAGGTCTGTACCCTCCCTCATTTCTCTTGTAAAACAGTATCTTTATACAAATTGAAATAGTCAGGAGTGATTTCAAGCTGGGCCCTGGGGGCCTGTAATCCTAGTTACTGAGGAGGCTGAGATCTGAGGATTGGGGTTCAAAGCCAGCCAGGCAGGAAACTCCATAGACTCTTATTTCCAATCAACCACTGACATTGGAAGAGGCAATTTGGCTCAAGTGGTAGAGCACTTGCCTTGAGCTGAAGACCTGAGGGACAGGGCCCACGTCCTGAGTTCAAGACCCACAACTGACAAAAATAAAAAAATAAAATAAAATCCAACCTTGTGCTGAAGTGATAGCTCAGTGCTAGAGTGCTTGCTTACCAAAGTAAACATGCATGTGGCCTTAGGTTTGAATCCCAGAAGTAAGGAAAAGACAACTAAATCCAACCTCACAGATATGCAAGAGAAAAAGACACTGAGCATGAGAGAAAGCTAGCAAGGTGCAGTCACCTATAATGCCAACATTATGGATGCAGTAGGATCATGAGCTTGTGGTTAACTTAATAGCAAGAGCAAAGAAAGGATCAGGAAAGGGGGATAGAGAAAAGAAAGGAAAAGAAAACAAATTTTCTTATTGGGGGGGGGGGTCGGGTACTCAGGATTGAACTCAGAGCATCATTCATAAAGCCCCAAGGTGTAAGCCAAACTCCAGAAGAGCATTTAAATAGCTTTTTCAAATGACATGGGTATGAAACCAAGCTTGTACACACTAGGTCCAAAGTCCAGAAATTCCAAATTAGGTCTAATCACATGCCCCAAAATGCCAAACAAGAAACATGGCGAATGGTAAAGAAAAAAGACTTGCCGGGTGCTGGTAATCCTAGCTACTCAGGAGGCTGAGATCTGAGGATCATGGTTCAAAGGAGCCGGAGCAGGGAAGTTCATGAAACCCTTATCTCCAATAAACCACCAGAAAACCAGAAGTGGCACTGTGGCTCAAGTGGTAGAGTGCTGGCCTTGAGCTAAAGAGCTGAGGGACAGCGCCCAGGCCCAGAGTTCAAGCCCTACTACCAACAAAAACAAAAAACAAAGGAGACTTATTACATGGCAGTTGGGAAGACAGCACTTCAGTACACCTTCAACCATCTTCAGGGGTACAGGCATCAGGTTAAATAGGGAGAATTGGGGACCAGGGGGTAAGAAGGGTATACATAGTTAAACCAGTCTCAAATCAGAGGAGTGGCCAGGTAGACCATTATCTCTCTCCTCCTGTGAGTTCTGGAGAACAGTTATTACCTTACATTGGAATGGGAACAGGCACAAGTTGCTTGGTAGTGTAGTGGGGAAACTGAGTCACAGCCATCCCTGTGCCTGGCCAGGTTCTGGGGCTATTGGTTTCACAGACATCCTGAACCCTATTACCTGGCTAGGCTTCAGTTTCCCCACTACGTAGGTAATCTCCAGTTTTGGGCTATTTTCTTTAAGATGGTAAGAAGGGGGCAGAATAGCTTATTTAACAACTGTTTGTCTACCACATTTAAATACTTAATAAGGAATTCACTCTTTCCAGAAGCCCAAAGTGGTTATTCTGACTACAGCAGAGAATGAAGTAGACATTGTTACCACTCCCTAGTAACTGTGTTCCCGGCAAAGGCCAATTTGCTGGAATGTGGCTAGGTGAAGCAGTCTCTCAGAATGTGGGCTTTGGGCAGACTAGGTAGGGCTACCTGGATTGATAACAGAAAGTCCAGAAGGTAATTTCGAAATTGTACCCCTGGCCTGAAGTTGATGTTACCTCTACTGGACTGTTGCCTTTCTGATTAATGACTTGTCTTTGTGTGTAATATAAAACCCAGGGACTCTCCTCCCTCGCTATCCAAACTTCTTTCTAGCATTAGCCTGGTTTGGATCACTAGCAATAAACTTTTTTTTATCCTTTCTAAAAAGTGGTCTTGATCTCTGCTGGTCTGCGCTGCCTTAATGGGAATGGCAGATCAGGTCAGGCACTAGTAGCTCATGACTGTAATCCTAGCTACTCAGGAAGCTGAGATTTGAGGACTATGGTTCAAAGCCAGCCTGGGCAGGAAAGCCCATGAGATTCTCATCTCCAAAAACTAAAAGTGGAGCTGTGGCTCAAGATGGTAGAGTGCTAGCCTTGAGAAGAAAATTTCAGAGACAGCTCCCAGGACCTGAGTTCAAGCCCCAAAACTGACACTCACCCCCAAGAAAAAAAAAGAACAAGAGATCAAAGTGAACAGATATAAAGTTGGGGGACTTTTAGTTAATATATTGGTGCCAACAAAAGAGGCATCTTTTAGGATGCCTCTTATAGCTTTTTTGATGTTACACCAAAATGCAGAATGTGGTCGATGGTTGTGGCTTATTTGTTGGAGGACAGATTTGTTTTTGTTTTTGTCAGTCATGGTGCTTGAACTCTGGGCCTGCGCCCTGTCCTTCAGCTCTTCAGCTCAAGCCTAGTGCTCTACCACTTGAGCCACAGCACCACTTCCGATTTTTTGGTGGTTAATTGGAGATAAGAGTCTCATGGACTTTCCTGCCCTGGCTGGCTCTGAATGATGATCCTCAGATCTCAGCCTCATGAGTAGCTAGGATTACAGGCTTGAGCCACCAGTGCCCAGCTGGAGGATTTTTTTTTTTTTCTAGTTGGTTGTGGGACCTGAACTCTGGGCCTGGGTGCTATCCCTCAGCTCTTTAGCTCAAGGCAAAGGCTCTACCACTTGAGCCACAGCACCACTTCCAGCTTTTTCTGTTTATGTGGTGCTGAGGAATTGAACCCAGTGCCGCATACATGCAAGGCAAACACTCTACCACTAAGCTACCTTTCCAGCCCCAGGGAGGCCAGGTTTTTGAGACAGGTTTTCAAAAAGTTCAGGCTGGTCTCCTGCATCAGCCTACCATGTAGGAAAATGTCATTTTTTCAAAAGTTAGTTATAATGTAGAATTTAAAGCTATAACAAGGGAGTTGCATACTATGTAACAATATAATCCAGTGGTATCTTACAGGTTTAAAATGGACTTTATACAAGCAGGGAGTGGTGACACAGTAATCTCCGTATTCAAAAAGCAGAAATAGGAGGATCTAGAATTTAAGGCCAATTGGAACTGTCTCAAAAACTTTATTTTTTTTGGTCAGTCATGGGGCCTGAATTCTGGGCCTGGGCTCTGTCCCTCAGCTCTTCAGCTCAAGGCTAGCGCTCTACCACTTGAACTAAAGCGCCATTTCTTGCCTTTTCTGCTTATGTGATACTGAGGAATCGAACCCAGGGCAAGCACAAGCACTCTACCACTGAGCCACCTTCTCAGCCCCTCAAAAACAGTTTTTAAGTACACGTTTTCTTCTGTAAAACAATCTGAGATATTTATTCTACATCTCTACTGGCACAATACAATGGATGTAAATTCATTGCTGCATTGTTCCAGTCTCAAAACTGAAATATTCTACATGTCCCTCAACTGGAAATTAAAGTAAATTCCAGAACATTTGTGCATATATACCTAAGAAAAAGGCAACTGTAGTTGATTTAGAGATGATTGAGGATTTTAAATTGTTTCTAAATGAGAGAAAGACATGAGAGAGTGAGTCTGGGTCCTGAAAGCATAGAACCAAGAATGCTATGGCAAATACTTGTACTTTTTATAAAGAGGATAGTGGAAAATTAACGAAAGACTTAAAACAGAGAAATGAGACTGATCTGTACACCCGAACAATAGTCACCCTTAGGAGTGACAGCTTAACTTTTATTAACAAACTTTTAACAGACTGGAATTTGGGGATGAGGCTCAGCTTAGTGGTACAGCTTAGCAAGTATGAGGTTCTGAGTTCAAACCCTAGTACAGACACATACACACACACACACACACACACACACAAAAGAATTTAAGAAAAGGCAGTATACGTTGCTATGCATTATCATTATGGTGCTAGGGATTAAATCCAGAGCTTTATACATGCTAGGCAAGGCTCTACCACTGAGCTACTTCTTTAGGCTACTTCTTTATTCCTCAAAGGAACTAAGATGTAAAAATAGGTAATATGAAGTGCCTAAAATCACTAAACTGATCATTTTACTAACAACATGATTAAGGCTAAACAAAAGTTAGAAATCCACTCAGAAAAAGCTGGAACTGGTGCTATGGCTCAAACGGTAGAGCGCTTGCCTTGAGCACAAAGAGGCTCAGGGACAGCGCCCAGGCCCTGAGTTCAAGCCTCAGGACCGGCAAAAACAAAAACAAATTCCCAAGGGGCCGCTGGTGGCTCACGCCTGTAATCCTAGCTACTCCTGAGGCTGAGATCTGAAAATCTTGGTTTAAAGCCAAGTGGTTTAAAGTGGGCAGGAAAGTCCTATAGACTGTTATCTCAAATTAATCACCAGAGGACCGGAAGTGGCTCTGTGGCTCAAAGTGGTAGGGCTCTAGCCTTGACCAAAAAGAGCTCAGAGACAGTACCCAGGCCCTGAATACAAGCTCTACGTCTAACCAAAAAAAAAAAAAAAACAAGGCACAACTGAACCTGCTTGAAACACCTACAGGGCAAAGTTAAAGGAAAGGCCAGACGCCGCAGGCAAGGAGCCAGGGGCGCCCCAAGTGTTCCAGCCTGGTGAAGCGAGCTACCTACTCACATTCATACTTCTGATTGATTGGAGGATATTTGGCCTTGATCGCCTTCTGCTCCTCAGTCAAATTGTAATCCCTATCGTTTTTCTCTAGAGCCATGATTGCAGGATTGTGCACGCTACTTCCGCCCTTTACCAGCTGGTCCTCGGCCCGGAGTTACAACTTCCGCACCAGACCCCGCCCCTTGGAACAGGCTCTTAAAGGAGCAGAACCCGCTTCAAACTCAAAGCAGGGCCTCCTCGATTCTAGGCTCTGCCATCTGTATGTCATATGGAAGACCAAGGCTCCATCTGCTGCCGCTTGCTTTATCAATAATCCTCTCTAAGCACGTAGTAAAGCAAGGCCTTAAATTAGGTACAATGCTCTGGGCTTATGTGGTGAGGCCTTTTCGTCCTCCTCGTCCTCAGTGTTGATCACTAGACCCAGAAGCATGCCTGGCTTTTTAGGGTACTCTGAAAGTTAGTATAACGGCCCTTAAGAAAATGGCTGCCCGCGGGAGCGTGCAGACAAACCTCTCACGTGATGTGGATGGGCACAATCCCATCAGCCCGGGCGCGCGCAATCGCTGGAAATCATCTCCGAGCGGTGGGGGGAGAAGGGGAGGAGCGGATGCCCGGGCCCCGCCGAAAACGGCTCTGTGCGTCTGGATAGGCTGAGAATGCAGATTCCCCGCCCACTTCACCGCTCGCTGCGCTCCGATTGGCCGACGTTGGCGCGAAGGGGCGCGAGCCTACCCTCACGCAGGGGCCGCAGGAAACAATAGAGGCCGCGCGCGCCGAGCGAGCGCTCGCAGCCTCCCCGCCCCTCCCGCAACGTACGACCCCGGGATTCCCCCCTCCCCTCTGCTAGCCTGCCGCCATGGCCGACAAGGAAGGTGAGAATGCTGAGGTTTCCTCGGCAGGGCGTGGGGTGGCCGGGACTGCGGCGTGGCCCCCTAGGAGGCCGAATAGGGAAGGCAGGCCCGACTCTACCCAACGGAACGCAGCCCCAGTAGCGCGGCCGTGAGGTGGGAGCTAGCGGCGGGGCGGGCTCCCAGCGCGCCCGCTCCCCGGGAGCGGATGCGGGGCGACGCCGACGGCTGGGGCCCCGGCGGGTGTGCTGCCTGCCTCGCGCTCGCAGTCGGACCCTCCGCCTTCCTGGGCTTCCCTACGCCGTTCCCTCCCCCTAGGCCCGGTGCGCGGGCCGTCTCGCCGGTCCTGCGGACTTCCCTCGCGCAGGAGCGGGCTTCGGGGTCCCAGGAGCCGTCGCCCCAAACGGGTAACGGAGTGCGTGGCCCGGGCGGCCAGAGCATTTCCGGCCTGCCGAGGTGGAGAGCCGCGCTGGTGGCTGCGTCTAGGGAATTTCAGATAGATTCCCTCCATTTCAAAGTCGGAACGAAGGAGCCATTCCCGGAGCTTTGGGGAGGGTTATTTTCCCCTTGTTTTGTGTTGCTGTTGGCTAACTTAAGTTGTTACTGTTTACAACAATTGTAGCAGCCTTTGACGACGCAGTGGAAGAGCGTGTGATCAACGAGGAGTACAAAATATGGAAAAAGAACACTCCCTTTCTGTACGACTTGGTGATGACCCATGCCCTGGAGTGGCCCAGCCTCACTGCACAGTGGCTTCCCGATGTGACCAGGTGACAGGAGTCTCTTAAACGTTACTTTGATACCTCTTCAATATAAATGTCCTACGTTGATTCTTCCATGTTTTTTCTCTCTTGTCATCTCCCCCCAGAAGCCATGTGATCAGAGCCTGTTAATAACATTTGTCTTTCCTAGCCCCAAAAGTGAGACAGAATGTAAAATTATTTTGTGGACTTACCAGGCAAGAGATAAACGTCTTAAGTCTAGTTCATTCAGCAAAATGTGTAGGTTGATTATGGGGCTTGAACTAAAGGTCTGGGTGCTGTCCCTGGGCTTCCCCGCCCCCCCAGGTCCAGCCCTCCACCACTTCGTTTAGAGGTAAGGGTCTCCAATACATTTCCTGCCTGGGCTCCCTTTGAACCTTCGTCCTCAGATCTCAGCCTCCTAAGCCGGCGGGATTATGAGTGTGAGTCCCTGGCTCCCAGCTTTGTGTAGTTTGATTTAAGAAGTTGAAAATAGTAAGGGCTTTAGACTAGCATGATTCCACCTATCAGTATAATTACAAGCCTGTGGTGGTAGGGTTTAAATCAAAAGAGAAATGCACTTCTACTTAGTAGGTCCAGAAGGGAGTTACAATGCAAACCTGAAGGTAGCTGGAGATAACTGTTAGTGTAGTATGTGTACAATCGGTGTCTGTTGAAATAATTGCTTCACTTTCCAGAATATTAGGAAATTAGATTTCAAACTAAGATTAACAAGTGATATTTACAAAATGGTACTGGACTGATTCAGGTCTACAGGTATGGGAAGTTTGCGATACATATTACTTATAAGAATGGCTTAAAGGGAGCTAGGAAGGTGGCTCAGTGGTAGAGTGCTTGCCTTGCATGCATGAGGCCCTGGGTTCGATTCCCCAGCACCACATAAGCAAAAAGAAAAAAAGCCGGAAGTGGCGCTGTGGCTCAAGTGGTAGAGCGCTAGCCTTGAGCTGAAGAGCTGAGGGACAGCGCCCAGGCCCAGAGTTCAGGCCCCACAACCGGGCCCCCAAAAACAAAAAAAACCCCAAAAAAACAAAAAAAAGAATGGCTTAAGGAAGATAGGGATTTTGATGCTAAAGCTTTTGAACAAAGCCATACCTAGATACTTGGAATTGGAAACTTTGTAAATAATGGAAGTTCCCAAGTTTAACTGATTGCTGATCTTATGAAATACTTGGAATTCTGGCTTGGGCTGAGATTTCTCCTGTTTTCAATGATAAAACACTGGAAAACTTGTATTGTTTGCTGGGTGTGGTCACACTGAGATGTTATCTCACTGGTGGCTCTGGCATTTTTTTTTATGGATTTGGGGTTGAGGACTGTTTGGGCTACAAAATAAGACCCTGCCCATCCCCAGGCGCCAGTTCAAACTCCAGGTCCTGCAAAAAAACAGACACGTTATGTTTAGCCAGGCACCAGTGGCTCACACCTGTAATCCTAGTTACTCAGGAGGCTGAGGGCTGAGATCGGGGGATTGCTGTTTAAAGCCAGCCCAGGGTGGAAAGTCTGTGAGATTCTTAATCTCTAATTAACCTGTGGAAAAGGAAAGTGTGGGTAAAAGCGATAGAGCACTAGCCTTGAGCTGAAGAGCTCAGGGACAGCGCCCAAACCCAGAGTTCAAGACCCAAGACTTCCCCCTCCTCCCACCCCCCAAAAAAGAAAATGGTTAGATTGTAATTTCAATTTGCTATAATTATGTACTAAATTTTGGACCAGTGAGTACCTATGTCTACTAAGTCCGTTGTGTGTCTCTCCCCCCTTCCCAGCTGATTACTGATGTCTTGGTTTGTAAAACAACACAGACTAAATTCCCCAAAGCAGAAATCTACATATTTAGTAAAATTTCTGCATAAGCAGATCTATAAATAATACAAGGTGTGAGCAGTGTCTGGTTTAAGGTGAAGATTACAAGTGCTTACTCTTTCTGGGGGGCTTTTCTATTGTTTTTTAATCCTTCAATTTGTTTTTTTCTTTCAAAACACAGCTGTAGGTTCTGCAACACTGTTATTCTCACTCTTTTCTATTTTTTTGCCTAACTTCCTAAACAGACCTTTGCAATTTTCTGTTCAGGTCCTTTCTTTCCTGTGTTCTTTTGCTACATAGAGTAGATATTCCTAATATATTTGCCTGTCAGTTATACAGAGACGTTTATATTGGTATCTCTAGACCTAATGTTGAGTTCTTGCTGTTTGGCTGCCTACTGGTTTCTTTCTTTCTCTTTTTTGTTTTTGGTCTGTTGTGGGGCCTGAACTCAGCCTGGGCCCTGCCCTGGCTTAAGGCTAGCACTCTACCACTTTGAGCCACAGCACTACTTCTGACCTTTTCTGTTTATGTGATGCTGAGGAATTGAACCCAGGGCCTCGTGCTTAGTACATAAGCACTCTACTACAAAGCCACATTCCTAGCCCCCTATTGGTTTCTTCTCTGGGGTATCTTACTATTTCTCCAATTTAACATCTTCTGATAAAATCTCCATAGTCTTTTTTGACATTTCTTAGATTTTTCCCTTCATCCCTTTGACTAATTTTTCTTTTTTCTATTTTCTTTTTTTTTTCTTTTTTTCTTTTTTGGGTCGGTCGTGGAGCCTGAACTCCGCCTGGGCCCTGTCCCTCAGCTCTTCATCTCAAGACTAGCACTTTTTCTGCTTATGTGGTGCTAAGGAATCGAACCCAGGACCTCATGCATGCAAGGCAGGCACTCTACCACTGAACCACCTTCCCAGCCCCTGAGTAGTAGTATTTCTAATGTGAACATATTTCCTAACTAGACCAGGGGTGTTCAAATTGTGATGTATAACAATATAATCAACTGGAGATGTAAAATAGTGTGTCCACCTCCAAGGTTCTTAATTCAGTAGGTCTGAAGAGGACCTGATAATTTTTATTTCTAACAACTTTGCAGATGATCCTGATACTAATGGTCCTAGGATTATACTTTTTTTGGTTTTTGGTTCTTGGTTTTTTTGGGGGGGGTTGGGGGATGGGGTCCGGTCGTGGGCCTAAACACTGGGCCTGGGCACTGTCCCTCAGCTCTTCAGCTCAAGGCTAGCGCTCTACCACTTGAGCCACAGCGCCACTTCCGGCTTTTTTCTTTTTGCTTATGTGGTACTGAGGAATTGAACCCAGGGCCTCAGTCATGCAAGTCAAGCATTGTACTGAGCCACCTTCCCAGCCCCTTTTTGTTTTTTTGTTTTTGCCAGTCATGGACCTGAACTCTGGGCCTGGGCACTGTCCCTTAGCTCTTCAGCTCAAGGCAAGCACTCTACCACTTGAGCCACAGCACCACTTCCGGCTTTTTCTGTTTATGTGGTGCTGAGGAATCGAACTCAGGGCCTCATGCATGCAAGGCAAGCACTCTACCACTGAGCCACCTTCCCAGCCCCCTTTTTGTTATTTTTGAGACGTGATCTCACTGTTTAGCCCTGGCTGACAGCAATGCATGCTTCTGCCTCAACATCCTGAATGCTGGGATTACATGTGTACATTAGTACACCAAGGTTCTTGGACCACACTTTATACTGTTAGATTAATCCTGAAGGGAACACAAAT